CGTGGACCGTCTGGTGGTCCCCGAGGACTGGGTTGAGAAACCTTAGTATATAGTACAGTCATTGTACATATGTAATTATTGTCAACATTTACATACTATAATGTCAAAAAAGGTAACTACCTGTTCTCTTCTCTAAATCTTCAGATTATGGTGGACACAGTGAATCTACTGATGTTTGGTTGTACCCTTAGTCCGGCCTCCTTCATTGTCATACCATGGACAAGAACATGGTCAATCACAGTAGCTCTGATTTCATCAGATATTACTGTTCTTTGTCCTCGCTGACCACCTCGACCACCTTCACCTGCTCGACCTTCTCTCACACGAACTCCTCTTCTTAGATTCCTATCCATTGTAGTGCCGCACAAACCAGTGCTCTGGCTTACTGTATATGTACCCTCACATCATTAGCCACAAGTGTGATAAATTTTGAGTTGTTGTGTTCAACCGGTGACACCTGAGCTTTAATTGTGTTTGACTTTTGCCACCTGTGCTCACCATTATGCAACACAGGTGCATCACAATGACAATGTGTTGACAAGATGTGTCTAAACAGGTGAAAAGTGCTTATGGTTTTGCCAAAAGAGTGACTGATTCAATAATTGGGTTCAGGCGACTGAGAATTTGGTTCAGACAATAGGGTTTCGTGTTTTAGCAATCGAGAAAAACTGTAAAATAAGGTTTGGAGCTTCATTTTTTAAAAGTAAATTGCTTACTTTGTCACTGTCAGTTGATTAATCAGCAAGATGAATCAGCAGAATCTTTAATGGGATTCGCGTATTTTGATTTTTAAAACTGCTTTTATAATGATGATAATTAAAGTGTCCATGGCGCTCCCCCCCAAATCCCAGCAGGTGGAGAAGCCTATCCCTCCGCCACGGAAGCCGAAAAAGACGCCGGCAGGTGGCGTGAAGCCAGTGAAGAAGGTCAAGGAGAAGCAAGCAGCGTCAGGTGTGCGGGCGACCAAAAAGCGGGCGTCGGAGAACGAGCCGGAGACCAAACCGGAGGAAGGGGGCAAGGAGAAAAGTAAAGAGCTGAACAACAAACTGGCTGAAGCGAAAGAGTAAAATCACTGAACTTTTATTTTTCTTTGTTGGGGGAACGAAGGCTGCAAAATTGATTAGAGGGTTCTCATCGCCTTGTCCAGTGTCTTGGTCCCTTTGTCTCTCTTTCCCCCTCCCCCCTTCTATCCCATTGCCGCGACTTGGATTGATGAGTATGTATCGATAAACGTTAGAGCTCAATGTTCATGACCACATATCCACGAAGGTGTAATGAGGGGCTCTATATGTCCGCCATGACACCGGCTCGCTCCTGTACCCATCACAGCCTCTATCATACCACCCATGGCTTGCGGCTGCTCTTTTAGCCTGCAGCTCCTCCTGCTGTGTGAGTCTTGTTGCTTGGAGCTAAAGAGAAATCAATCTGAGAAGTGCCTCTGCTCAGATTGGTTTTGTTGTGCTTATCAAGGTTTTCGCAGTAAAGTTGAACCAACACTGCAGCCAACTTGGCTGGTTATGTTTTAGTATGTCTGTGATTGGTCAACCGTGTGTGAACAACAGCGGAAAAACCTTGATAGCTCATTATCCAAGACCACAGTTACCCAATTCCAGTCCTGGAGGGCCAGAATCCAACACAGTTTGCAGATTTCCCTGCTCAAATACATCTTAGTCAGATAATTTCATCATCATTAGTAGGTGTGTTTTGTAAATCCATAAACTGTGTTGGATACTGGCCCACCAGTACCGGAATTGGGGAACCCTGTCTTAGACCATACTGAACTCAGTTTGGTTGTATGGCCTGAATTGCTTCTGCTAAATGCCTTGTACTTGAGGGAGGTGGGCGTTATCACTAAAAAGTATGTGGAGCTGTTTGAGAAGAATGTTCACCATTAAATTGTCAGGTATAGATGCGAAGTACTCAAATGACATTTATCCAAACATCCGTTACATAGCTACCCCTGGCAGGACAAGTGCTTAATTAACTTTTCTGAAGGTCGCTCTGTGGTTAGATGTAATTGCGGATATCTGGTTTCATCAATTTGGTTGCTAGGGAAACAATGGAGATTCGGTAATGCGATTACCTCTGGATGATGATGGCAAAGCAAGCCAGTAGATGCTGATGTGAGCATGACTTGAAATTCAAGAGTACTTTGCAGTTAGGATGGGTATAATAAAATATGTTGCAATATATTTGAAGGAGGAAATATTGAAAATGCACAGCTTAATCCATTTTTCATATCCAAGCTCAAAATTTTGATAAAAATTTCAGAAGGTAGACAAATTAGATCTGAGTTAGATGTTGGTTGATGGTAGAAAACCATGTCATGAGCAGAAGACATTGGAAGGAGAGATTGGCTTACACCAACCAGATCACGTGAACGTCCCATGGGGCATGATGAGACAGGCAGATAGGGGACCGTGCCATGAGAAATCAGATTAATAAGGCTGGAAGCTCTCGAGTTGTACAGATTTACTTTTCTTATGCATAATTTATTATTATTATTTTTTGTTCAGACTGTTTATGGCAAACTGTGAATTGATTTTCTTAATGCTTTGTGTTATACTTTACCAAGACCAGTGAAGGTATTGTAAGGGGGTAAGTTCATTTTTGCCAGTATGGTACGAATTTTTCCTCTGTTTAATCACCTTGTTTTTTTTTGTGTTTGTTTTGCTAGCTCCTTGTGTCTCTGTGTCTCGAAGGGGTCAGATCCTTCTTAATCTTGTTGGAACCGCATGTGCAATGAGATGGCGCTTCAATTTCACCTCTATAAGAAGAGAGGCACCTAAATTCTGGCTTACTAACACGATTCACTGGCACGGCATCATATGTGTTTAATACCTGTTGTACACACAGCTAATTTGGTGTCCTTCATAATGCTCTGTATAAGATAGCTGTAGCTGTTGAAATTGCATTAATTGTAGGGCTTATGTGTATATTTATGATATCCTATATATGGGGAGAAAATCAGAAGATCAGATCAAGTGTAGTGAAGTTATGGTTAAAGTCCTCTTAAGATTGCCTACATTTGTACAGTCAACTCTTACTTTGCTAAAGGCCATTAGAGGCCGGTCAGCTTAAGAAACAGCTGCTTAGGGTTAAAAAAAAAGCCTTTATCATGGAACTGAAACGCGATTGGACAGAACAGCAGAATTTCCTGTGAAGAGCCTATTGTGTTCTAGTTGCTCGGCAACCCTGGTTCCGCCTCCTTGTCCCTTAATCCCATCCGCTTCGGTAGGCAGCCTCTCCATGCTGAGTTCAGGAGTGTGTGTCTCATTGTCTGGTGTATATCCGAACCCTCCCAGCCACGCCGTGCGCCCCCTCCCCCCTGACCGGGTATGGACCCCCCGGGAGGGTGAGGGCCGCCTCATTACCATTTTTGCAGCCTTGAGCTTGCCGCGTATCACTGGGCTGGCGGGCCCACCGCACTCCGCATACCTGGGCGGCTGTCTCCAGACCGTGCTTCCGGCCTGAGGATGATCAAACACAAAGGAGGGGGGGTGGGATGGGGGGGGGGGGGGGGGGGGGGGGTGGGGAGAAGAAGAAAAAAAAAAGCGACAAAAAGTCATGTAATCCAGATACACTTACTGTGACGTGCTTGTGTTATCTGCTTGCTCGTATTTATTGGAATTATTAAATAAATGCAAACGCAGAACAAAGACTGTCTTTGTTATTTTTTTAAGGAGGGGTAATAAAATAGGCAGATAACTTCTATGCTTCATGCCTGGTGGGGAGTATAATCTCCTTGTCTTCTACGCTGGGAAGTCCACATGGAAGAGAACATCTAGAATGGTCTGCTGGTGGAACATTCTGGCATACGTCCTTACGCCCTTTGGAAATGTTCATATTGTTTCTCAGTGAGAGCAGAGAAATATATTGTTTGCACTGTCTTAAATATATTTCATGTTTTTACTGGAGAGCGATGCAATATGAACATTAAAGGAGGCTTGGGGGTCGATTCCAGAATTCAGTGCTTTGTGCTATAATATCAAAATTATTTAAATTATTTGGGCACTCATGGAGAGCTACATCTGCTACATGCAAATTTACTGAATTCACCATAATTTATCACATACTGCACAATGTTGGGGGAAATTTAAAACGCAGAATCTAGGTCAATGCACTGGTCAGGCGACTGTTGAGGTTTAACTCATTTCCATAACCTGATGCACTTCTAGGATTTCACTTTCTAGACATTTTCTACATCTGTGATGCAACTGTTTTGACGTTTGGTTCTTGTCAATTCTACCGCATAAATTGGCATCTGACTGTTTCACCTATTTGATTTGATTTCTTCATTTTTTTTGCACAATGCCGTGAGAATCGACCTTTCTTTAATGAGTGACGTTCTGATTCGTTTTGAAGGTTTGTGCTAAAACAGTACCACTACATACAGCTCTGTCAGCCAATCCAAGATATTGTTTGGGTTCAGACGCTAAGCCAACATCTGTGGCGTTGTGCCCTAGCCAAAGCAAGGTAATCACAGCCTCCAGGCTCCCGCCACATGTGACCTTCCCGTCCTGTGCAATGTCACGTCTATGAGTGTGTGTGTCCATCTTACGCCCAAACACATACATATACAAAGAGGAACATCTCGCAGATGCATTGACATTATGTAATTCTCTTCCATATGGAAACTGAAGGGAGGTAAATGGCAGTTTGGGCACTTGCTATACATACATGAAGAATCCCTCTCTCTAATGAGGCACGGGATTGAACTTCTGCTGGGTTTAGTTACTGCAGCAGTGAACGTGGATGCGGGTGGGTGGGTGGGCTTGCGATAGGACCTCACACGAACACTTGCACTGCTGTTGTGTAACTCCTGCTGCATAGCTGCGCTCCCAGGGTGTGTGTGTGTGTGTGTGTGTAATTCAGAGATTATGCCTTTCATTACTGTACTAAAATAACAGGAATATGCAGCATGGATGTATAATCGTTTTTCTTTTTTTTTTTCGGGACAGGTTTATTAAGTAAAATCTGTCTGAACTTCAAACATCCCAGGGAATTATAAATCTTTTTTCTTTTAAACTAACTGTCATATGTTCAATTATATATTAACGAGCCACAAGCCGTTTTATGGCCCATTGTACTGCATAAATGCAGATTGTGAATGTAATCTGAAAATGACAGTGATTCATTTAAAACACCAAGGGGAGGAATAAGGTGGAGAGTGAAAGCGACGGAAGCTGAAGAGAATGTAACAGCGATGACAGTTTGGGGTTGGGACGGTGTTTTGTTTGTGATATTTGGGACTAGTTTGTAGTGGGTATTTCTTGATTATGGTGACTTACCTTCAATAACGTTACTAATTTCAGGTTAAATTCACCTGCATTTAAATTTGGTTGTGTTGTCTTGAACACCTTGTGCCTGTTAAATACTGTCAGCTACACGGCAACCAGACTTAATTTTGATGATTTACGACTTAAAATAAGACTCTGAAGATTTGTTCATTTCGATCAGTGTTTCTCAGCCCATTCCTCGAGGTCCCCCAGACAGTCCACATTTTTGCTCCCTCCCAGCTCCTAGCGCACCTATGACCAGGTATTTGTTGTTTTTTATTGCTTGTTTATTTGGTTCAGGTGTGCAGCGAGCTGGGAAGGAATTAAAGTGTGGACTGTTTGGGCATCCTCGAGGAATGGGTTGAGATACATTTTTTTTCTGATTCCATCCATGTTTAATCTGTCAACCGGGTTCACATTCCCATGCAGGCGTATTTATTAATATGACTGGATTTGAAAATGTCTGAGCAAGACAGCATGGCTTCGGTGCATGGCCTTGAGGGACACCGTCTCAGGACACCAAGCAGAAGAAGACAAGCCACAGGGTGTTCAACACGGACCGCCGTGCTGTGTATGGTACCATGCAGTAATGTGAAGATGCTTCACCTTCTGCCTCTTTTGTCTTTTGTATTTAACTTTGTGGCTGCTTTATAGAGACCCCAAAGTTGAGGCTTGTGGATCCAGTCATCATCCCCCGGGTGCCTCTGGAGGAGAGCCAGAACAACTGGTGGAGAGAGCCGAGCCACGCCGGGGGGGTGGAGTCGTGCGCTTTGCACCTGACGTGAAATAGACACGCCGCGAAACACGCCACGGAACACGCCGGCGTCCTGCCCCTCGGTCGCTAACAGGCGACCGCTTCCGCTGCGGGCCTGGAACACGGGACAAGTGGCTTGTAAATATGTCTGCACACAGAGGCGCTCCTCAAGGGGGGGGGGCTGACAGACTGAGATACGTGAAAAGGGATGCGACCAAACCCGCGTACGCATGCTTCAGCTGGATTAGGAAGTGGTTTGAAATCTCCACTACCAAGAGAAAAGGTGCTATGTTTCATTAATGATGCGTGCATCCATATCAGCTACATATATGCATTATATTGTTCATTTTACAAACGCTAAACCCATTAAGTGCTTCTTTAACTATATACTGTATAGCGCGACCTGCAATTGCAAATAAATCTAGGCTGAGTATTGTACATGCTTGGGAGGTTCTTTTTTATGTTCTATCTGTTTTATGTTCTACTTCCAGCCAGGGGGCAGCATTGAGGAACTCCCTTGACTGATATCACAAAGCATGCACACACGGGCAATGGAAAAATTTAGTGACAGCAGCTCATGTAATTATGCCTATGTGTGACAGGAGGAAACCCAGGCAACAGCAGCTGGGGCACGATTCCCAAAGCCCCAACCTTGGAGATGTGAAGCAATAATGTGACAGACTGGGCCAACGCAAGAATTTTTGCTACCGGCCAACAGGGCTAGTTCAGTAAAAAATGTAATCTGACAAATAATTTTTTTACTAGCCAACGGGATAGTTTTCAGATGATTTACATTCGGCTTTCATCTGAATTACCTCAGGAGAGTGAGCAAGCATAACTCTCCCACGATGCCCTCACTATTCTAAAAATAAATAATTTACATATATTTCATGCTTCCATATTCGCAGAAGATACCATATGACACAAAATGAAACTTCAATGTGTGAGTCTGATGCTTCTTACAAAGTGGGTGAAATTATTGTTTGCTGTGGTTTTGGTTAGTTTTGCTTTTCAGGAAGTCTTCAGTAATCTGATTAGAAAATCCAATCCAATCGCATGCAACCTAACTGAAGGAAAATCTCTGTTAGAACCTTGGGCAACACCAGCGTGGTTCCAAACTGTAGCTGAGGAGCAGTGTCAGTAATGAATTAATCCCTGTTAGTTTGCCCTCACTTCCCTTGCAGTAACATCTCTGACTGATAGTGCTTTCATGTGTTCAAGCCAGCCATTTGGATGATTTACAGTCTGCGGCTCTTGACTGGTTGAAGTTCCTCGGCTCTTTATGTTGTGATATTATAATTAATATTGCTTGACTGCTGTCCAGGGCTGTGGCCCTTTTTGCTTTTTAAAAAAAAAAATTAAATACCTGAAAAAAACTGTCAAATGCTCTAATTGCCGACGATGCCTAATTGGACTCTCCAGGGGCTGCGGTGACATGAGGTAAACTATCTGTGTTTCTTGACTGTGTTCAGAGACACAGCACTTACACGGTCTCCAAAAACACACCAGAGAGCCGTATAAATTTAGGATGCCTGGAAGGAGAGTAAGAGAATGGGAGCATAAATTAACAATGAACTGAATAAACAGAGGTGTTTTTATAGGACCTGGGTGTTTCAGCATGATAAGTGCCACTCTTGCCAATTCACATGGCACAGAAGGGGGGGGGTGGATCATGTGACACAACCCCCACTGACTGAGCTGTGCTTCCTAAAGTGAAACCTATGTATGATGCATGGCCACTGAAATACAGGAATCATCAACTGTACACAGATATAAGTATCCGTGGTAAAGATTGTTGGCTATGTTTTTAAATACCATGTCCGTAGCAAAAGTTGCATCTTCATCACAATGTCCGTCAAAACCGTATTTAAAATACTCCTAGAATGAAAACCAGGATGTTACATTTGAATTCTAATTTGCAATTATTTACTAAAATAACCGGTTGTTACGGAGATAATTTCGCTTTCTCTTGTTTGTCCTGCTACTAATCTGTAAATTATTATGTGATCCAGATCTTCAACAGTACGTTTATGAGTCCAGTGTTGTTTCCATGGAGATATGGCATCTACTCCCAGGTGGTGTGGATGGATGGATATTTGTTAATGGGGGCTCTAACCCACACAGATGGCACTCCCAGTCCCATGAGGAACATCGTCAACAAACAGCCATTTGTTGTAACTTCCCATGTAGAATGTGATTTTGAAAGGCCTGTCAGTAATTGGATACAGTACAAACAGGGAATTCTGTAATACATATACAACGCAGTTGGCACAATTCAGACAGGTAACATTCCCCTGGCATCCCAGACTCATCCATCAGACTGCTAGCGAGAGAAGCCGGATTCACCACTCCACAGTTCTCATTTCCACTGCTCCAGAATCCAGTGGCGGTGTGCTTTGCAGCTCTCCATCTGACGCTTGACATTGCGCTTGGCTATATCCAGCTTGCCTGTAGCTGCTCGGCCACTGAAGCCCATTTCATGAAGCTCCCAGTGCGCAATTGTTTGTGCTGCAGTAAAGGCCAAGATGACGTTTGCATCTCTGCAGTTACTGAGTCAGAGCATTGATGACATACACACTATGCGCCTCAGCATTCTGTGACCCAGCTCTGTTACTTTACACGGTCTGCCACTTCATGGCTGAGTTTCGGTTGTTCCCAAAAACTTCCACTTTGCAATAATAGCACTTACAGTTGACCATTGAATATCTAGCAAGGAAGAAATTTCATGACTTATTGCAAAGGTGGCATCCTATGACAGTATGACACTTGAATTTACTGAGCTGTTCAGAATGACCCATCCTTTCATAAATGTCTGTAGACCTGACTGCATGGCGAGGTGCTTGATTTTATACACCTGTGGCAATGGGTCTGAATGAAACACCTGAACTGAACAATAAGAGGTGTGTCCCAATTCTTTTGTCTATTTAGTGTACAAAGGTTAATACAGGCAGTTTTGGGAAAATAATGATGTTTTTATTTACATACATGTGCATACAAACAATACACACAACATTATGTATGTAAACAGTGAAAATATCTGGATATTCATATACAAAAGAAAGCTATTATTTTTTATTCAAACTACTATACTGCTTTCCAAGCATTGCCTTCTGCCATGATCAGTAACTTGTTTAGTTTTTAATACTCTAAGTGCATCTAGCACGACAAACATTAAGGGGCACAATAAAGGGGGGAAGTCAGAATGATTACAAGTGGCATAATATGATTGTTCTGGGTTGGTTGGCCCAGTAGGATATGTATTTCTGTGGTCCAAGATCTCTAGCTGCACCCTGCAAATATTACAGCAGATTCCCTCAGAATTCCCTTAAAGAAAGAAAAAAAAATACATCATCACTCTTTACTTTACATCAACCATTGTGTTATTGTATTCCATGACAAGTGAGATGGATCTATTTTAGGGGTTCCCGGCATACGTCAAGCAAAAATTTCATGGACCTGGAAGGGCAGATTAATTGGTAATCCAGATATGGTAAGTTTAGCTGTTTCCATTTTTTGTGAAGTGATCAGAACACACCGTCATCAGAAGTAATTAAAACAAAAGGTGTGATTGGAAAAAAATTGCATATTTCAGGAAATTAACAAACCACGGTAAGAAAACCTTTGATCTCAGGGAGTGGCTTCAGACAATTTCATCATGGAAAGTGAGAGTTTCACTGCAACAAAGTAAAATGATAAATAACTTACGACTACCAAGAGTTTCATTTTAAGATATATTCAAAGGAAATAATACATATATTCAATTTGTAAATAAGAAATATCTTTTAAAAATAATAGTTTCCTCTTAATAAATTGCAAAACTCAAAAATTGCACAGAAATTTAAAAAAAAGCTCTGAAATAAGCCTATGAAATACTCCTGAATCAGTTGAGCGAAGGAAATGAGGGAATACAGCAGCACTATGAAAATATTGTAACGTATTTCAATGAATGGGGAGGTCAAAAACTAGGCATCAAAAACAAAATACCGACCAGGACTTCGACCCAAAACGTCTCTATTATTGTGTTCAGTCCAAGAAATATCATATGATGAGCAGATAGAAGATGAAAACTTCACTGCCATAAAAACAGAAAGAGCTAAAATCGAGATGCCCAGGAAAACACCCAAAACAATAACAGGAATCTTCCATTGTTCTCCTGTGGAAGAAAGAAGCACGAACATGTTACTATGTCACAGCAACTCATTTGACAAGCAAATACATTCAAATCAAATATATATATCCTTAGTATAATCAAGTAATTTGACTGGACATAAAAATATGAGTGAATAATGAAAAACCATACCATCGGGGAGAGAAACAGAAGGCATTTCCGTTGTGTTGACTGCAGCTATGGTGGTTATTGTAGGATGTATATCCTCAGGTGCAGGTACAGAAGACAGAGAGGATATCTCGGCNGCCACCTGTGCTCACCATTATGCAACACAGGTGCATCACAATGACAATGTGTTGACAAGATGTGTCTAAACAGGTGAAAAATGCTTATGGTTTTGCCAAAAGAGTGACTGATTCAATAAGTGGGTTCAGGCAACTGAGAATTTGGTTCAGACAATAGGGTTTAGTGTTTTAGCAATCGAGAAAAACTGTAGTATAATTGTATACAATTTTTGGTACACAACCATTTTTTTTACTGTAGTCTTTTGGTTTCCAAAATGGCTCAGCATGCAAACGACCACAACCTCAGTAAATATTTCTCTACACGCCAGCAACAGTTTTGACTGGTAGCGTTTTCAATTTTTTTGCTATAGTGTGCAATGTCTGCTCAGTAGTGTTTGTGTACCGACTGGCTTGACGCATGACCTGAAAGCAGTGTTTGCTTTTGAGCAAAGATAATATAGTTTTGAGAAGAATGTTTGATTTTGCAAGACGAGTCAAAGGTTTTGTGAGTGTAGCATGCATTTTAGGGTTTGTACTTAGTGTTTTGAGAAATGGAGAGGAGATTTTAGGTAATGTGTTTTAGCAATTCAGAAAAACTTTAAGTTAAGCTGTTAGTGTTTAAGCATTCCGAAAAAACTATAAAGATATTGTGCAGATTGTAGAATGCACTTGATGTAACCTAGTGGTTACAGTACAATGTAGTTAGTTTTGGCTATGAGCATCATAGGATTGGAGGTCAATGGTTTGATTCCATCTGCTGCAACCTTCCTGTGAAGTTTTATATATATCAGTTTCATGCCTCTTTGCTGAAAATGTCACGTTCCAAACTGAAAAGTACTGGCAGAAGAGTGCTAAGAAAAGCTCTTTAGTGTTTGTACTGTGGAGCTCTGTGTTATTTCACTGCTTTTCAACCGTAAGCATGTTCTATCTTAGCATTAGCAGAAGATTAGGAGAGAGTTTATCAAGAATATTTGTCACAGAGGTTGAGCACTGTGTCATGTGTTTTGCACAGTGTGTTTTAGGGACTTTTAGGTGCGTAAACTGTC